ACGCAGACACATCAGGCCGGTAACTCACCCAGGCCGGAGCCTTCTCCCACAGCACCCCCCACCTCTGCCCAAGCCCCCTCGTCCAAGGGGTCACCCCTTGCGTAAGATGCGTCTTGCGGGACGGTCCAGGGGCCGAATGTTCCACAATGCACCCCTGTGTTCACACCCCAGCCAGACTCAGACAAAGGCTCGCGAGCTGCTTTAATGTGTCTCCTTCACAGCAGGAGATGCAAACACGAATCTAATGAATGGTTAAGAACAGAGATTGGTTAACCAGGCTGCTTTCGCTGTGTTATTAACCAGTGATCAACTTGCCCTGTTATTAATTTCTTTGCTGTAAGAATTATCTATAAAGCAGATCGTCGTACAGTTAATGGAACAAGGAATTCACACTCTTTTGGCTCTGAGGATCACTAATTAGGCTCCTGAACCTTTTCAAACAATTCAAACCCAATTCAAACAACTGAATAACCGCGGCGACTGCGTGCCGAAGTGACTGTGTAGTGTAGATGTGGCCTTAGCTAAGAAAGAGTGTGAGGTCTCCTTCCTTCCCCGCCCTGGTCTCTCAGCTGGAAAGGTTTATCAAGGGGGAGCTGACACTATTCAAAGGAGGGGCAAAGACCCCATGGGAGCCTCCTCTCTCCCTGCCCATTGCATTCGCCGCACCCGAGAGGACAAAGGAACCAGCCCATTTGGGGGTGGGAGTCCCGGCCTATAGAATTCAGTCAGCTGGAAGCACCCGGGGAAAGACTTTGCTTTGAATCTAACCGAGCTGAAGCAGGAACTAGAAAGCATTTTGATCCCTTCACATCTCGCTCTCCTCGTAGTTAATAAACTTGTTTTATCTACTCCAGGGGGCAAAGATAAAGCGTCTGGTAACTTCACTTAGCACTGTGAGCTGGTGTATGTTGTTCCCTTAAAGGAATAGCGGAGGGAGTGTTTCTGACCAGGAGAGGGCAGCGCAGCTGGGATTGGGGATGCATCAGGGGGGCATAATCAGGGCCGGTGAGAGCCAACTGACTGGCCAGGACTGGGTGGCCGGATGCAGCACATGAGTGTCTGCGGGCGACTGGCATGCTGGGGTAGGTTGAGAGCCAGCCAGGCCTGGCTACAGCAGCAGGGCATTGGAAGAGCACCCCAGGTTATAGGGAAGGGGTGACAACTGCTCCCTGGTTTGGACTGTACCCAGCTATGCCACCGGGGGGCCAGGAGTGCTGGGCCCATAGAGGGCAGGCCCAAGATCTCTGGGAGATGTAATGAATGGGGCCAGGGCCCAGAGAGGGGATGGGGCCCAATGCCCACTGAAGGGGGCGGGACCCGTGAGGGGGCAGGGCCCAAGGCCCACTGAAGGGGGACAGTGGGTACCCTGGGTTGGTGGAGCAGGGGCTGTGGTTATGAAGGAAGTGGGATGGGATGGGCACGTGTGGGGTGATGATTTAGGGATTAGGGCTGGGCCATCTCTTAGGGCGCTATGGGCCATGGGGGCTGGTGGTTTAGGGGGGGAGCCAGGCTGTGGCCAGTGGCTCAGGAGGGCTCAGGGGACAGGGCCAGGTTTGGTCCCCAGCCCTGGATCCGGATCCAGCTCCAGCCCACGCGGCACCCCCGCCCCACCTGCTCCATCTCCTTGCAGCGCCGGCACAACGCCTGAATCTTCCGGCGGCCCAGCTCGCGCTGCCGCTGCTGGCTCTCCTCCTCCTCCTCGTCCTGCAGGTTGTCCCCGCTCAGCCCCCCGTCCACGAACTCCACCTCCGTCTCCAGCTCGCTCTCCAGGATGTTCCCCCCCGAAGAGCGGGGGCAGCGCCAGCTCCGAGCCCGGGGGCACCGAGAACTCCTCAAAGCCCACCCCGGCCATGGCGCTGGGAGGGGGGGGGGAGGGGAGGG